AGAATGCCTCAGTTTGTTGGACAATGTAATTGCACACAAATCAATATATATTTGAGAAGATCATTTATTTTCTATTAAAGAGCCACAATTCATGTGTTTATCATTTTTGGAATACTCTGTGCAGAGATTGCAAGAAAACAGCATTTTTATTTTGTATTTTCAAACATTTGCTGTTTGTTTTACAATCAAAACTGTATATCATATTATATCATATTATATTATATTACATTATATTATTGGATGATACAACACGTGGACGGCATAGAGTGAAATTCAGTTTTCACCACCACCCATTCTCTTCCACAGTCTTAAGAGAAACATAATGTCTTTGATCAGAGCATGCAACTATTCACTAAAACTTGCCTAATTAACATCCTCCACATCTGTCAGAACTTTTAAGTGTAAGTGCATTGCATCAGCCATAGGTCTATTCATAAGAAAGAAGCACAGGCTCAGAGGCTTTAACGGCAAGAAATCAAAAGGATTTCCTCAGAAAGAATTGCACATGTAAATGAGGTTCCTAGTATTATTTAACCTGAAGACAGGTTAAATAATTACCAACTTCCACCTGGTTGAGGAGAGGGTATTTACAGCCAGTGTGTGCAGAAGATGCACAGAGAAGGCGTAGGACATCCTCTAACAACTGGTGCTGTTGACTCTGCAGAAAGGCTAATGCAGGTGCAACTCGTATGATGTACGACAAAGAGAGCACGAGTGTCAGGATGGTACAAAAGTATGTGGAGTTTCTGCCTATATGGAACAGTGAGAGCACCTTAGAGGTTTGCATGCAGTAATCTTTAAAATCTCTTATGTTGGTTTGTCTGTAACTAGTGCAGATGTATGCTCCGTTTTATTAGGCAGCTCTTGTTCCCATTTTGATGAGTAAGTTTAGGTGAAGTTTAGTTTGCCTTCTAATCATATTTAGAAAGCTTTGGTGTGCTCTGAATTATCAATGCTAATTGCCAGTTGTACAAAGTAAATTAGCATTTGTCCATGAAGTCAGTCCAGCATTTTGGTCAGTGGTTGGACGCAGCGTTTCATAAATAAAGTGGCCGTAAACTTACTAGATGGACCCAAAGCTGTGCCACTG